TTTATGTCTCTTTGTGATCATTTTGTGTCCATTTACAGGTATTTTATCTCTTTTTGGTCGTTTTGTGTCATTTTATAGCTACTTTCATAGGGATATTTCTTTCTTCGTGGTCACGTCCTGTCTTTTATTGCACATTTTGTGTGTCTTTGCAGTCATTTTGTGTTTCTTTATGATCTGTTTGTGTCTCTTTCCAGTTATTTTAAGTGATTTTGCGGTCATTTTGTGTCTCTTTATGGCTGTTTTGTGTCGTTTTGTGTACATTTTGTGTTTCTTTATGGTTGTTTTGTGCCTCCTTATGATCTGTTTATGTCTCTTTCCAGTTATTTTAAGTCTTTTTGCAGTCATTTTGTGTCTCTATGATCTCCTTGTGTCTTTGTGAGTACATTTTGTGTGTTTTTGGAGTCATTTTGTGTCTGTTTGTGGTAGTTTTATGTCTTTTTGTGTCCATTTACAGGTATTTTATCTCTTTTTGGTCATTTTGTGTCATTTTATAGCTACTTTCATAGCGATATTTCTTTCTTTGTGGTCGTGTAGTGTCTTTTTTTGTACACTTTGTGTGTCTTTGCAGTCATTTTGTGTCTCTTTATGATCTGTTTGTGTCTCTTTCCAGTTATTTTAAATCTTTTTGCAGTCATGTTGTGTCTGTTTGTGTCACTTTGCAGGTATTTTGTGCTGCTTTATGGCAGTCTTGTGTCTTTTTGAGTACATTTGTGTGTTTTGTCAGTCGTTTTGTGTCCCTTTATGGTAGTTTTACATCTCTCTGTGATCATTTTGTGTCTCTTTACAACATTTCTGTGTCTTTGTGTGATCTTTCTGTGTCCATTTACAGGTATTTTATCTCTTTTTGGTCATTTTGTGTCATTTTATAGTTCAGATTATAGCAATCTTTCTTTCTTTGTGGTTGCTTAATGTCTTTTTTTGTACTTTTTGTGTGTCTTTGCGGCCATCTTCTTTCTTTATGGTTATTTGTGTGTCTTTGTGATCTTTTTGTGTCCCTTTGTGATCTCTTTTTTGTCACTTTACAGTCATTTTGTGTCTCTTTATGGCTGTCTTGTGTGTTTTTGTGAACATTTTGTGTGTCTTTGCAGTCATTTTGCGTCCCTTGCCAGTTGTTTTGTGCGGTTGCTTTTCTAGAACCGGCTGTAATCTGTATTTATCTGCTCCGTGATGAGACCCACACAGCTTCTTCAGGCCTCACACTTCAGTCTGACAGATTGTGCACATTTTTGAATCCCAGCAGCCGTGGTGGTGGTGAGCGTGGATCCGAGGGAACACACAGGAGGGTCCCTGGAATATCGGCATTAAAACCTCCCCGCAGAGTTTTCATTAAAACCAATAAAACGTATGTTTGTGCCCGGCGCTGCTCGCTGCAGCGACCGTCTTTAAAGTCTAACAAACACGCTGGACGCATCTGCTTCCCCGTAAAACCTTTACGAGGCCGATTTTTGCATGTTTTGTTGGCGCTGCTGCTCTGCTTGGCACGACCTCGCACAACCGCACCTGCTAACAATGAGCAGAGATAAAGAGTCGAGCTTTTAGCGTTCGCCGGCTCTGATGTGTTCTGAAAGGCTGTGAAAGCACAAAGTGTCACGACTCAAACAAACCGTTTACAGCAGCAGCAGCAGCTTCAGGTCTTTGTTTTGGAGGACGAATGACTGCACACTGCTGCAAACAACAATGTTCTGCTAGTTAATGATGTTCTCTGTCATTTACCTGCTGTTTACCATTATTTAAAACACACACACACACATACACAAAAAAAACACACACATGCATGTATCTTAAGGAGGCAAAGGTGGTCTTTTTTTTTTTTTGTAAATCACAGAATAAAGTATTAATCTACATGTGAGCACAACTACTGTAAATAATGTCCTGTATTTTTACAACTAGTACTTTTTTCTTCTACAGAGTTTAAGGGTCACAATTTGCTTTTTTACTGTGTTTAAATCAGCAAAAATATCATTGTTTTACAGCTATTTGCCTTTATTTGAAAGAAACATCCTGTATATTCAGTACAGACAGGTGGCAAATGATTTTCTTACTTATGTTAAATTACAGCTCATATCTAGTAAAACGCAGAAAATATATTAAATGGCATGTTGAGATTAACAAAAGAAACAGGCCCAAACTGTAAATAAAATCCCAGACAAAGTATTAATTAACAAACTGAACATATTGTACACTTAAAAAAATCAGTATTTTTTTCAATAAATGGTCATTTGTTCTTTTATAACTTTTGACTGGAAAAATTTCCTTTTAATTTTTTTTTTTACTGTATTCAAATCAGCAAAAAAAAAGAAAAAAGTCCATGCATTAAGATAGAAAAATTGTAAATATATATATATTTATGTTATTTTTCATATTTTCCTTGTCTTCTTGTATCTATTAAACTCTGAGAAAAAAGGTTTTAATTTACATTTTGATGATGCATGTTTTGTTTATCTTTTATTGCAGATATTTGCGTTTATTTTTTAAAAGATATATGTATATTTTCCAGTTTTGTATTGTTGCAGCATTTCGTCATTTAAAAAAAAAATCATATTTCTCGTGGCTCTCTTGCAGACAGATTTTCACCACTTTGCTATGTTTTGTTTCTTGTTTACAGTGAAGGAAATCCCACACAAAAGCCTCTAATTTTACAAAAGAAGTTGTGTGATTTCATTCTGCCGTCTTCAGGGAGGAACCTTTGTGAGCAGACGTCGTGCTCCAGGATTTCTTCAAGCTTTCTTTCATGCAAACGGATAAAACTCTGAGATAAACCCCGAGAAACAGCAAACAAAAACGCCACAGCCGGACAAAGGCGCAGTGTTCTGGTGATAACGCTATCAGACATCAAACGCTCCATCTCCCTCTTTATCTGAGCACCAGGACTCGGCCTGTATGTTCCCCCGGTTCCTGCAGCGAGGCCTCTCGTGTGCATCTGATGGTACGATGGAGGCTCGAGTTTATCTCCGAGGATCTAAACAAAAGCAACATGAAAGTATCCCGAAGATCCAAAGATGCACGCCGCAGTTTATTATAGTTTAACCAGCATGTTATTGTGTTTTTATTCTGAATCTCTCTCAGGGTTTTGGAAACGCTCTGTGATCTGCATCTCGCTGTCACTTTCCTCCCTCGTGTCGGACGGTTTTTCTGCTTTTTTTTCCTCTCGTGTTTAATTTAGTTTGATAATCTGCTGCAGTGTGTTTTAACTTCATTAATTAGATTCAGATCTTGGCTCACGTCTTGTCTGATCAAAGTAAACAAATCTGTTAATTCACTTGTATGGAATTCTCTTTTGGCCATTTTGCTTTATGAAGTTAGAAGCGATAAGTTATCAGAACACATTCATAAACAGACATTTGACACTGGGGGGTTTTGTGTGTTCTTGTGTAACCTGAAGCTCCTTTCAGACTCTTTTCTGGTAATCTGATGGCATCTGAACACGTCGGCTTCATGTCTGAATGCTCACTTTTCCACTGAAGTTGGCGATCTTACCAGATCAACATTTTACTTATAACAAATCTGAATCCACACATTAGCAGATAGTTATGCTCAGAAACGTACTTGGAGTCGTTTGCATTGATTTAAGGAAACAATTTTCCACATTTCAGCAACGATGACAGTCCATAAACATCACACAGAGCAAAAGATCCAGTTTGAAAACCACAAAACACCTTTTTCTTGACAATTTCACATCAATTACTAAAGTTAACATGTCTGTCAAATCCAACTTTACAGCAAAGAAGACTGTCAGAGGAGACTCGCCAATAAGGAATCAAGATTTTGATGTTGCGTCCAGTTGTTTAGGATTGTTTCATCTGAGTTTATTAAAGACCTACAACAGGATCCATGTGACAGAGAGCTGCACACATCTACAGATAGCTAGTTATAGCTATCAGCGATCTCTGACATGGAGGCTGGATGGATCAGGACGTGGACTTTAGCTCACCTCCGACAGGTGAGCTGTCACGCGCAGTCACAGTTCAGTTTGTTGCGTCCAGCTGTTTAGGATTATTTGATCTGAGTTTATTAAATACCTGCAGCAGGATCCATATTAGAGAGCGATGCAGAACTGCAGCATAAATAAATAAATCAAATTGTCAAATAGTGTAAAAAAGGAATAAGATAATGACAAGGCGAGTTTACTGTTAAGGTACAAGCTCTTTAATAAGCTGCTGTTAGCTCAGTCTTGTGGTTGTTGGTGCGTTATTATGATAAAAGAAAGTTTTATTAGCATTAAGAGCTCTAACGCTATCATTTATGACTTTTTTCTAATTTTCTATTGTTTTTTTTTTCTTTTTATGATGTCTTATTGTTGTTGCACAGCCTGGAGAGCAGTCACTTTGCATTTCACTGCACGTCCTGTACGAGCATGAGACAAATCAAAACTCTTGAATCTTGATAAATGCCTGTTAGGCTCTGCAATGACACACAATATGAAAAAAAAACTCTCCTTAAAAGTTAAAGAAGAAGTAAATAGTGAGGAGCAAAGAGACGAAACTGCAAAAACACAAAAGCTCTCCTCATAAATGACTTGTTGTGCATCATCCAGTCTTGTGTTTCTGACTGTTATGTGTTTGAAATGTGACGCTGTGATGGAAACTGAACACTAAAACAACAGCAGCGTCACAGATCTGATGTCTGAAAAAGGGTTTTTAGAGGTTGCATACTCTTCATTCCCATTTCTTTTTCCTCTTGTGTTTAATTCAGCGTGATGCTCTGCTGCTGTGTGTTTTGTGGGTAACAATAATAATGAGTCGTCCTCTGAGGCCGCGTTTCACAAGAAGCTTCATAAATCTCTGAATTAATTTGTTTGGACTTGAAAAGGAATTTCCTTTTGGCCGAACAATTGTTGTTTTATAAACTCACATATGACAAATTGCTAAAACACAGACATTTGTCATTGATTTGTGTTTAACCTACTTTCCACTGATTTCCCCTCCTGGCTGCAGCGGCTGGTTTTCACCGAGAGCGTCGCTGTTTTAAAATATCGCGAGATTAGGAGACCGGAAGAGGGGAAGGTCAGACCTGTCAAACATGGCGGCGCGCAGTGTGTTGCGCTCCGTCTGGAGCTCGTTTGCGGGTTTAAAACTCGGGGTTTCGGGCTCCAATGTGGGAATTCTGCAGCGGGTAAATGTTCCTCTGGTATCCGCTGTGACCGTCCCGAGCAGAGGGATCCGTCAAGGTGAGAAATATTCATGAAAATGACCCTTTTAGCCCGTCGGTGTGTTAGCTAGCATGCTAACGTGGGGACGCTGGGTGCTTCTGGTGTGCTTTAAATATCTCAAAGTTTACTTAATTTATGTCCTTTAATCTTCCACTAAAGACTCGAGGGACAAAACCCCATTAGAGGAAACATTTTTATTTTTAGAAAAATAGGATTTTAACACATCTGTGGATCAGAAGTGAGTGTGCAGGTAAAATGCTAACATCGGAGCTAAACGAAAGCTAAATTTTGTTTTTTACTTTTTAGTAGAGAAATACTGTTAGCTGGTGTTCTGATATTTATTTTTTCTGTTCATACTTCATCATAATAACGCTGTTTTCTGTTCTATTGCCCTGTGATATGATGAACTTATTTATTGCTAATGGCTGTATTTTGTCCTAAACTTTGATGACATTTGATTTCGCACTAAACTGTGGTTCATCTTAAAAACGCTCGTTCACACACGTGTAGGTGTACATGGCAGTTCAACACTAGTTTATCTGTAACCTGTTGCTTCTATTTAAATATTATGTATATATAAAGATAAAATAATCTTTATTTAGACTGCAGTGGGGAAATGTGTGGTGTTAAAGCAGCAAAAGCAAACATTTAGTAAATGTAGTATAAAAAAAGAAACCACCGTGTACAATAAAAGCACTAGATAATAGAAATAACACTATTTATTTTGTGAGCAGAGAACACAGGAGTAAAATTCCTTTTTTGCGTTTACATACTTGGGTTATTCACGTTTATATTCAAAAATATATTGTTTTATGTATATATTCAACTATGCAGTGATCCTAGGTCAACTAGGCGCATTTCTTCTGTATGCTTTATTATTTTTATTCTTATACTGTTTTTATACCTTGTAAAACTTTTTTATTCTACTAGCATCGTTTGGTTGTTCTACCAGGATGATTTGCACCTCATTTTTCTTAAATGTAAATTATGTATGTGCACTACAGGATGCCTTGAATTTCAACAGTCGGTCCATCTCTGTTTGCGTTTAACTGCAGGTTTGCAGTTCATTACATTGTCTGCTGTTTGTCTCTCGTCCCGCTGCCACGTTCTCGTTTTATGATCATCAGGACAAATGCAAACAGCAGCTTTTCCAGTTGTTAGTCCTCATTGATAAAGTGGACGATCAGACTTATGGGAAGGTTTTATGTTGGGCTGAACCACACAAAGTAGCTGCACAACTTGTGAACAGTGTTTTTCACGCAGCTCTGCGATGGAAAGTATTTTACAAACCAACTGTCAACGTACTGGATCATGTTTTTAAAACCCTCTTTGGTGACTGTGTTGGTTGGTGTCTTGTCCAGAAAAGTGATTTCTCTCTCATGTCATGAAGCGCTGCTAAAAGTAGCAGAAACAGATGAACTTCACGCAGAGCTTTGTGATTTCAGTGGTTCACAGTAGTTTTGCCTTTCATGGTGCAGACACAGTAAATGTCTTCATCCTTTCTGTAGCTGGAACATTTCCACATGATCTTCCTTTTTAATGTTTATCTCCTGTCATTGACTCATTTCAGTTTGCACGTGTTAAAAAAAACCTTCAGCGTATCCAAGAATCCTTCAGAATAAATGATGTTCTGCTGCAGACTTTTGAGAACTAATCGAGTTTTCTTTTTCTGCTAAAGAGCAAAAAACATGTGTATCCTGATGTTTTAACTCCACTTTCTGTGATTTTACTCTTTATACTAAAATATTTGCATTAAAATAGATGTATAGCACTTATTACACAGGATGACATGTTTCATATTGATGCGTATTATTGGTTTATAATTATTGATGAACTGATGTGTTTGTGTGGCAGCTGGTAAAAGCAGTTTAATGACTTTACATCTGCCGGGAATCTTGTGAATTCTACTTTCAAGGGTCAAATCGTTTTGCCTTAATCTTCGTTTGTGTTATTAAGTGACTAAACATGTCAAATAAATGTACTGGTGTAAAAAAGTGCATTATTTTCCTCTGAAATGTCGTCAAGGGGGAGGAGGAAGTAGCAGAAAACCCTTAACAAAAGTACAAGTACAGTGCTTGAGTACATGTACTTAGTTACTTTCCACTCCTTAAAATAATGTGAAGTCATAGTGACTGCACACAGTCAGCTCTGCCGGCGCTGGGCTGCAGCGACTGATGCCTTCCAGCTTGATAAAAGTCAGCGTGACACATGAAACACAGTCTGATGAGCACATCCAGTAAGAATCTGCACAGCAGCTCCGTCAAACCACAGTGTGCAAAGTTATTGCTGCACTTACCGCAGATCTAATCTGTTTAATTAACTGGCGAATAGGAACACAAATAAAATCTGAACTATGTGCTGAGCCGAGTGCGGCGACGCGTCCGAGCAGCTCGATCGGCCGCAACAACAGATTCCTAATAAATAGTAATGTCTTTGTTTGTAAAGCAGAAGCTAGTTTACAGAGCGCTTCACAACAGCAGAGATCATAGAAAAGGAAAAAAGTACAAACCAGGCCTGATTAACAGGAGCAATGGTAAAAACCATCAACAGAAAAACAAGCATCAGATCCAATAAGAGGAGGTAGAAGCCTTTAGCTCGCTGGTGCTGTTATTTACAACACACAGAAAATAGACTTTTTATTATAAGACGGGGTCAAAATGTTAAGTAACCTGGAATAAAGTAGCATGAACAGTGTTCTACAAGACTTAATTAAATCTTCCTCCTCCTGCCTTTAAACATCTTTTTGTTTTGGTCGTATTTTCTCTTTTCTACAGGATGAGATGTGAATAAACAAAGTTAAAAACTTAACGGTGTCTTCTGTCTGTTTCACAGTGGTGGAGAAGCAGGACGGTAAAACCACAACCGTAAGTAAAACTTGGGCTCCAACCTTTTTTTTTTTTATTATGATTATTATTTTCGGCGTGTTTATTTGAGTTGCTTGTCGGGTAAACAGATATCGGGGGTTTTCCTGCTTCCCAGAGAGGTCAAAATAAATCAGCTGCTCTTAAATGCTCAGAGTTGAGAATAAAAATAGTATTTAGATTACAAACCAGCATATCATAGCCACGAAATATGTGCAGTTCATCCCTCTGGGTATCGAGTTTTAGCACTTTTTTAAATTTTACATAAAGTGGGTTTTTAAAAAAATAGTGTATTTTATTTTTTTAGTGTGTATTTGAATTCTTTTTCTAAAAATTGCTGCTGACTCGAGTAAAATGCACAATGGATTCCAGCGTAACTGTACCTGTTCACTGATGTTTCATTCACTCAAACATAATAAACCTTTTAGCTTACTAAATAGTGGGAAAAAACAAAAAAATGCACTTATTTCTATTCATTTGAGGAAACACAGATTTGTTGTTTTTTGTGCACAAGAGCTGATTTTGTGCAAAGTTCCCTTCTGAGCATGAAAAACCCCGACATGGAACTTTCTGTGTCTTGATATCCGTCCAGTGTTGTGATTTATTATCGTGAGCAGACGATTCTGAGGCAGCTGCGGTACATAACGTCCTCCTTACGCTAACGGTTTTTAATCTCCGGTCAGATTGAAGGTCGTATCCTGGACGTCCCAGCGGCGCCTCAGCCTCCAAACCCCGAAGCCAAGTGTCCCATCTACAGGTGGAACCTGCAGCACAAGTACAACTACACGGTAAATAGGTTCTCAAGGCCTCGCTCAATCAGCGGCGTTATGCAAGACATCTGAGCTTCAGTCTGGTTGTGTTTCCGTCTCCCACCAGGACGTCCTGCTGCTCAGCCAGTTCATCAGGGCTGATGGAGGAATGCTGCCCCGGAGGATCACCGGCCTCTGTCTAGAGGAGCATCGCAAGATTTCCATCTGTGTGCAGATGGCTCACAGAGCAGGTCAGCGCTCACCTGGCTTTATAGCTCAGCTGGAGCCTCTTAGCTCCGTACGTTCTGTTCCCAGCTGGGCTCGTTCGCTCGTCGAGGTATCTGTAACAACGCAGCGTCCGGATCGGCGTGAGCAGGTTTAGCAGCGTAATCGCTTTATTAGATGTTTGGTAGAGAAAAGTGGTATGTGTTTTTTAAATTTCATTTTGTGTCTTTATTTGGCAATTTCTCGTCTTATTTTGTGATTTTTTTTTCCGTCATTTTGTGTCTCTTTGCTGCCGTCGTGTGTCGTTCTGCATCTGCTCGTGTTCACTTTGCGTCTCTTTGCGTTTGGTTCTGCAGCTCTCTGGTCACTTTGTGTCTCTTTTGTAATCTTTTATTTGTCATTTTGTGGCTTTTTCGTATTTGTTGTGAATAATTTTGTGCGTCATTGTGGTTGTTTCCGCTTTGTTAGCTCTGGTTCTGCATCTGCTTGTGTTCACGGTGCAGCTTTTCGTCAGTTTTAATCTCTTTCTGGTTATTTTGTGTCTTTTTGAATCTCTGTTGTTGTTTTGCGGCTCTTTGCAGCCATTTTGCATCCCGTCGTCCTTTTGTGTGTCTGAGAGCTGATTTTCATATTTGTTTGCATCAAATCAGCTTCTGTTTCTGTTCATTTCACACCCTTTAGTACTTATTTCTGTCTCTCTGTCATTTATTTGTCTCTTTGATCAGTTTGACTTGGTATCGGTTAGTTTTGACCCAGTAGGCATTGAACTAAATAAGTCAGACTTTGCGTCGGACCCGTTCAAAACGTTGTGAAAACACGTTCACGAGTAAATTCTGGATTAATCCTGAAGCGCTGCTGATGTAGAACGTTTCTACTGATGAAAAATAACCCCAGAGATCGATGAGTATTGATCGACCAGAACATGGGCGTACTGCTGTTATCACGTCATTATTTGTGAAGTAATTTGATTAATGATCAAATACACGACACTCCCGGCTTCTGTTTCTACCTTTAAAACACATTCATGCTGGCGTTTTTTTTCATTCTGTGCCTCCAAACTCAGATTTAATGTTTCAATTTAAAGATTTAAATCCAGCAGTCCGGTGAGCTTTTAGGAAAATCCAAAAACAGTAAAGTAGAGGAGACCTATAAAGATATAAATGTCATGACACTATAGCCAAGACGACACTGTGGGATCGTCATCTTGTTGTTCGGTTTCCTCTAAACTGTGTCTTTATTTATCGCAGAACAAACCATTAAAGCTGCATTTCTGTCTGCGATAAAGACGATAAACGCTGTCGGACGTGTAACTGCTGATCGTGTGAATCCTAATATGTGGGATTAATCGTTTCTTTATTTCGAAGGTTTGCTGCCGGATCACAAACCCAAACTCCCAGAAGGTCACGTCCCAAAGAGGCCGAAGCAGCAGCTGAACAGGTGACGCTGGTTGCTTTAGATACGTGTCTCACCGCTGTTCTGTTAAAATGTGAATCATTCCTTCACGCCGTCTGTTTGCCGCGCAGATACCTGACCCGCTACTCCATCGACTCGGTGAAACCCATCTACAAAAAGGGGCTGAAGTGGTGCAAGAAGCGAATGCCCGTCGGTCACCCGTTCCTGAAGGACAACGTGCGCTACAGCGTGAAGCCGCTGTACATGCAACACTGACGGACTGGACTCAGCCGGGTCGGAGGTTTACCTTGACTTCTGTCCCGGTGTCGTGGGAGTAACGGCCCAGAAAGCTTCATCCATCTGTATTTATTCTGTTGTTTATGAAGCTGACTCACGCTCGGCTCCACCCGGGACCATCCATCCTGAGCGCCGGGCCTCGGGGAGCCCTTGAAATGAAGCGAACGTGAGCAGCGCCTGGGTCAGTGTGACAGGTTCTGAGGAGGTGGTTTGGTCTGCTGTGTAAACTCAAGGCAACGCAGATGTGCAAATAAAATCCTGTGTGTTTACTCGGCCTCTCGGCATGTGTTTACTGTGCAGGAAGAGCCTTTTGTGGACGAGAACAAAAAGAAAGCTTTATTTGTTTTAGGGCCTTGTTGGTTCTATTTGAACAGAATCATGAAGAAGCTGGAAGGCCGATGTTCACAGCATGAAGGGGAGGTCCAGGTGCTTGGTCCCGTCTCCGATGTACACGTACCCGTGCTGAGGCGTCCCGGGCAGGTGGTAGAAGGTGAGTCCGAGCCACAGCAGGCTGCGCAGGATGCACACTCTGCCGGCGCTTTCAAACTGAAGACTCCACGAGCCTGAACACAAACAGCCGTAAACAGTTTGTATGTTAAATCCAACATCCTGCTCAATGAGAACGACACCTATTAACCCTCTGAGCGCCGAAACCTGCAAAATGTTTGAATTTATCACCTGGAAACGGTAAAAACTGAACGAAAATAGTCACATTTTCAACTTTCCTCCAACTAATGATCCGTTTTGTCTGCAAACTTGAACCAAATCTGGGCTCAGAATCAGAAATTAGTCAAAAATCAACAGTTTCCTCCGACCAGATTCCATAAAGGAAAACTAAAAACAACAAAAACCAGTCCAACCATAACTACAAGTAGAAAGAATTTAAATGTTTTTCAGCAGTATGAAACACTTTAAATGAATAATTATATAAAAGGGGGGAAAAAAACATGCAATTTTTTTGTATTTCTTAAAAAATTGAAAAGCTCTTCAATTATTTTTTATATTGTAGAAACTGAGGATGTCAAAATACCAAATGAAACCATGCAAACCAAAATTAGTTTCATATTTAAGGGTTAGGGTTAAATAAAAATTGCACCGTTTGTCAGAGCCA